GCCGCCTGTGCTGGGCAACTGACAACCAAAGGAATTAACCTGCAACCTGTTAAGGAAGGTAAATGTGTGTGTGTATGTGTGTGTGTGGGTAATAAGATTGAAAAAAGATTAGAAAAACTTTCCTGCTTTATATCCATTGCAAAGCGTAGGATTTAAACATGGGCCTGGAATACGTACATGAGGACTGAACAAATGATCTGAGTCTTGGCAGACGAGGATCTGCTGAAAATAATTTTTTAAAAAACCTGAAAAGCTTATTGTTCGAGGCAATTACATATTACTATGGAATCTTTGAATAGCATTTGCTTACTGGTAATCTGGCACAGAATTATTAAAACATGTTGACCTTCTGGAAAACATGTCATCCTGATCAGTCTTATTAGTCACTGGCTGTTAGTTCTGGATTTGTTCCAGATGTATTACAGAGATGTCAAGTGGTGTTTTTTTAACAGAATCCCAGAGCTTCTGCAGACTGGTCCACCCTGACAAATTAGGAGTATGTGCCTCCATGGACTAAAATTGTGTTATGGATCCCTTGACTATATAAAATTATTGGGATGCCTTTTTAAGCAAGGTCTGTGGACTTCAGCTAACCAAGGAGTTATATATTTTTAGCTGGGATTACCTTAGTTAAATTTATGGAAATAGAAGGGGAAGAAGGTTTAAAGGATGTAAACACCCAACCTACAGTGTCCCAAGCCCTCTTTTGTTGTAGCTCTTTGTCTGCAATGGTATCAGTGTTCTTCAGGTAATCAGTAATTTCTTCACAACTTTCCTAATCTCTCTCCCCCCCCCCCATCTTGGGTTTTCACTAGTAATGGTAGACTCCCCACCACCCATTCCACACCCCAAATAATAAATGGTAATAACTTCATTCAGATGCTTGGGTGGGATCTAAGCTCCAGATTGGGTTAAATTGCATTGGACCCCTACCATGTTACTGCAGTATGAGCTATCCTTGATGCCTCCTTGTATATTAGGATATAACGATACAGCAGACTTGTAGGAGGTACCATGGTAGGGCCTACCTTGAGTTCTAGATACTGCTTTGAGTATGCCTGCACAGGGTCATCTAGAAATGCTGGGAATCATGAAAGCTTCTTTCTGCTGGATTCTTGGTGGTCACTGGCTCTCAAGTTCCAAGGCTTGTGTTAAGGCTCTCAAGTTATTGTGTTAAGGATGCCTTCTACTCCCACTCACCAAGATAAATTGGGAAAAGTGGTGAAGAAGTCTTCAAAGTAGCTTGTGCCATGGTTTGAAACAGACAATTTTGGATCGGTCTGAACTCTGGAGTAAGGGGATGGGATTTGTATTCTGTTTTAAAATGAAGATGTGGACCCATGGAACCTGGTCTCCCTCTCCCTGCCCATCTATAGTTTTCTGTTTGTTATGAGTTTGTTTTGTTTGTTTGTTTTTGGGTAAGAGTGTATAGGCTGACTGTATTGTAAGCAGTAACTCCTGGAACATATAACATTATTCAGCCACTTGAAACTGCTATGCAGTTAACCCAGATTACAGCTGTGCATTCAGAATGTGTAGATTTCTAAAGCAGCAGTACAGTTCACAGGTTAATCTTTAAACTGAATTGTGTATTATCCTCTCAGAGAGGAAAGGAAGCCAAAGAATCCTTTCCTATGTGCATGAAGGATCCACAGTTACAGCTGGAGCTTCTTTTTAGGCCAGTTTTGGTTTCAAAATTAGCTTGCCTTGCCAACAGTAGGAGCTCCTGCTGTGCATGCAGTTTTCTTGCATGTAAGTAAAATAATCCCTTTCCCCCCCCAGGCATTTAATTTAAATATTGTGCATAAATATTCACTGTTCACAAAAATTGTATATTTACATAAAGATGCAAAATAAATAAATGTTTAATCAGGAGTATACAAGGTTTATGAAAAACATTTCTAGAATTTCCAACAGTGGATTCATGGATATAGTTTGACAATTTACTGAGCCAACTTCTGAACTTAAAAAAAAAGAATCATAGCACCTACAGATGCAAAAGCATACCAAAGCCTGTGGGATGGATCCAACCAACAATGCACAGAGCAAATGCATGGGAAGGATAACGACTTAAGGCTCCCCCTCCCCATAAAGTGCCTCTCTTTTGGGGAGAAGGAGGAATTGTCAGAAATCTCAGCTCTTCTGCAAAGAGCAGGAGTCCATGCAAGTGAATGGGAAAGTTCTGCCAATTTCCTTCTTCCGGCTGTAGCGTCCCTCCTCCCTACTGCCTCCTGTGCTGTTCCTGAGGGTCTGTTAACCCTCAAGTACACCTTTTCATAAGGTTTCAGGGACTGTGGTGGGAAGGGAAGGTGGCAGGTATCCCTTCTGTGAGTTCACTTTGTCAGTGATTGGTTGGTTTCAACCTAAAAAACTATGCACAAAATTTGTTGCGTGGGTATTCCTTCCAGAATCCATCCTCAGTAGTCTGTGTGGAGCCTCTGTAATCACTGTGTTTACATATGACACTGCATATTTACCCTTTAAAAAGTGTGGTTACTGAGTTTCCATATGACCTGCTTTTAGAGTCAATAAAAATCTATGAGCAGTGTGTCAAATATGAACTGTACCTTCATATGTCATTACTGCCATTGCTCCACAGCATATATGTTGTAAGAAAGAACAGAGAAAATATAATACATGCAGGTACAGTTCGCAGCTAGTGTGCCACATACGTGTTTTGTACCTGCGTATTCATGCCAGAGCCCATTAAGTCATGTAGGACGTAATCCTAAAGATATATGATCGAAATCCACAATGGATTCTATTTTCCCAATTCTCTGAGAACTCAATTTATGTCATCTCTGCTGGAGAATCTGTTTTATTATGTAAGAATTATTTTAAACCCTTTTTTAAAAACTTCGTTTATTTTCAAAAAGCTTGTTTCCTTTTAAAACTGAGCTACTTGCAAATAGATGAAGTAGGTTTCTCTTGACAAACAGTTGACTGAAAATAATGTGTTCTGTATTTTGCTGTAAACCTGATCAAGTTGTATGTTACTCCCTTAGGGATCAAGATCTTAAGCAGAGATGTGTATGACTAAAGCATTTAAATTAAATTTGAAGAAGGGTGCTGATGGCAGTTAAATGAGTCTTCTTATTACCGTAGTGAGAATGCTTTAATTCTTATTCCACAACTATTCCAGATGCCTTCAGGACATCCTAATTTGTATGGAATAAATATTTAATTCATCATGATAATGCAGTATGGAAATTTTGCAAAGCAAGCTGATTGAAAGGAACTGTAAAGTCATTCCGTGCTCGGAGTACTGTCATTTGTGGATGTAAAACTGGCACCCATTAGGAGAAGAGCTTTTTCAGTTATCTCATTATTGCTTTGGTTGGGGAAATCTCACATCTGCCAAAGGGGGGGGGGGAATTGTGCAGTGGAGAAAAATCTGTTTTATGGCTGTTTTAAAATATTTTGTCGAAAGACCTTTTGCTGTAAAGGCAAAAATTTCTTATCTTTACATTCAATAGTGGTGACTTCATTTTCTGGTGTGCTCCTTACCAGTGATGTTTAACCGGTCTCTTTATCCCACAGTCATTCTGCTTTAGGGTCGCATACACATGGTTGGTTTTACTTGTAGCACCAGTTCAGTGGCTGTGTTTTAGCTATGACATGGAAGCTGCCTTTAGCCTTGAGAAAAGGTGGAAAATAGATTATTTTAATCATTAAATACATTAAGAGAAACTGCATTGATCTAAAGGTCAGTTTGGCTTTTGTTCAGTCACATACCTTCCAGAGGATAATAAGATACAATGGCAGTTCTAAGGAATGTGTACTATTAATTTAGTCCTTTTGAGTGCCAAATCTCTATAGATGTTGGGCACCTCCCTAATGGGGGGGAGGTTGGATTTATTTAGGGGGGGATATATATATATTAGTCATACACAAACCTGCCAGTGAATAAAATGTATTTCTGTGATTCATGTGGGAAACTTATGTTTGTATAAGCAAACCTGCAGATCAGCAGGTAACATGATGCTGCCTTTTGTGGATACTGACGAATACTCTAACCATAGTGTAACTTAAAACTGACGTCACATCACTCTAGTGATTGCCAGAAACTCTATTGTTCTACCATAGAGTTTCTAGTGGTTCCTAGAGTGATGTGAAGTGTTGCCACTGGCAACCCTAGCTAAGATGGAGCTAGAAACTCTATCAAGAGAAAAAACTCATTTACTAATTTATGACTAGAGAGATTTTTTGGAGTTGGTGAGGGGGCAAGGAAACTGAAGGGCACAAACCAGTAGGATGAAAATAATCTACTAGCAAGCCAAAACACATATGATTTATTGCAAGTTGAAGAGCCTTTCTGTGTGTCCATAAATTAGAACAGGATGAGTGCATCAGTTAGGCCTGCGGACATTATTCCTGGTGCCCACCAAGTGTTTATAGAAAGTAGGTGGGGCCAGGTGGGCTTTTGCTCAGAAAGGCTTCTGATTGGCCACTGGAAATTTGATTGGCTATTCAGATTTTTTTTTAAATGTTACTTTGGCAGCAACTGCCACAACAATGCAAGGATCTTCGCTGTATGACTGATGGTAAGTTGTGGCAACCATTTTGTGGCTGCAACTACCACAATGTATCAGAATTCCAAAGATGTCTGCAGGCTCAAAATGGTTAGGGACCCCTGAGTTAGGTAGGGCATCTCAAGATTTATACAGAAGATGGCTGTCAGGCTTGTTTTGGTTCAAAACTTTTGAGAAGGTATGTATTTCAGTTTTGAATAGAAAAGGGTACAACATTTTGGATTGTGGGGAAAGTCTTCTTCATGTTTATATAGCCTAACATAAAAAGTCTGAATAAAAACCCTTTAGAAAAATTGCATGATGATTAATCTCTGTCCTGTCTCAAAATGTCCCCTATTTATAAACGAAACCATCTTTAGAATTGTGTGTTTATAAGATGCTTGTGCAACCCCTCCCCCAAATGCTGCATTTAGGATTGTGTGCATTTTATAAGTTGATATTTTCCCATTTGTTGTTCTTTCTTTTTAGCTGCCCAGCTGGATAACATGGGTTTCAGCATTGTCAAGAAATGCATACATGCTGTTGAAACAAGAGGTAGACTGACTTGCCCACGTATTCTTATTTTTGGGTTGAAATGTATCTATTATCACCAATTTTAATGTGTCTTATATGACAGATGATACTGTCTTGAGACTTTTAAAACTATCACATTGGTACCCAGAGCACAGTTCGAAATTCAGTCATGTTATGGGGAAAACAGAAGGCAAATGTTTAATTACATAATTTTAAACTGAAGCCTATTTTGTCAATCTCTTGTTTGCTTATTTAGTAATTCACTTCTCATATCCAAAGCCTATTTCAATGGAGAAATATTTAGGTGTCTTTCAGATCACATAGTCACATATTGACACATATTTATGCTATTTTAAGAAAAAGAAATGTTGAGCTGCAGCTTTGAAGATGCTTCACTTCAAATTGGCGTGCATATTTGCAGCTAAGTCCGTACACAGTTTTGCTGATGGATGTTGCAAACACGGTTTTAAAGCATTTGTTTCAATGTACAATATAATAAATACCTTCCCATCTGAACCAAACTCCTGGCAATTTGGAAACTTCTGTGTTTATATATATTCTTGTGTAAACTGCACACACAAATATATTTTAAACAATGCATTATGAATAAATATGAGATGGGAGACTCTAACACTGTAGTCCTCAGCAGAGTTATATACCGTCCTTAGCCCATTAATTTCAATGCAGTTAGAAGGGTGTAACTCTTTTTAGGACTGCACAGAATAGGTTGTAGATAGAGGCATCACGTTTCTGCATTTGTCTGTTGCAGAGAGTATTTCCCACCCCACACAATTACAGAGATGACTTAATTTTAGTGTGTTTCTAGGGATCTGTTATCATGGATCAAAGTATACAAAATAGCCCTATTTTGTGTTTGCTGCTATTTTAACTCAACACGTAGATGTGCCAAAATATTTTATTTACTGTTGGAAAGAATCAAATATATACTAAATCTCCGTAATGAAGTTGCATCTAACTCATTATTTACTTTTCTGATAATGCTGATATGAGATGAGACTTTACTGAGTTTCTGTGCTGGTTTGAAATCTTAGGCATTGAAAAAACAGGTGGCTTACCTGTAACTGAAAATCTTTGAGTGGTCATCTGTGCATTCACACCTCTGGGATATAGTGCGCCTGCGCCGACCCTGATCAGTATAATGGAAAGCAAAACGAATTTTCGTGCCCGCTCCCCAGTCATGTGCCGGGTTCTACTGCGCATGACTAAGGGAGGGGCACGACAATCCCGCCAGTTCCTTCTGACCGCTGCCCTCAGTCTCCAAAGAAAACAAGGAAGGACCGAATGCAGAGGGGAAGGAGGGCGGGTGGTGTGAATGCACAGATGACCACTCGGAGATCCTCAGTTACAGGTAAGCAACCTGTTTATCTTCTTCGTGGTCTCTGTGCATCACACCTCTGGGAGCCTGACAAGCAATGCCCACCTACCTGGAGGAGGGAGCTGAGGTCCCAAACCTGCGCCGCCTGCAACACTGCTCATCCCACAATTGAACGCTGATGAAGACAATCATCAAGGGCATAATGCCTCACAAACGTGTGAGGCGTGGCCCAAGTAGCTGTGTTGCAGATATTTGCAGATATCTTCCAACAACGCACCTCGCAGGAAGGCTGTGGATGCTGCCACTTGGATAGACGTTGAGATGACAGCTTTTTCCCTTGAGAGGGTAAAGCATGAGAGACAAACAAGGCCGGAGATTTCCGAAAAGGCCATGTTTGATTTAGGTAAAAAAGTAAAGCTCTTTTGACATTCAATGAATAAAAACGGCATTCTTCCTCCATTGAGGGAGACGGAAAGAACACTGGAAGAACAATGTCTGCTTGCAGGTGAAACTCAGAAACAACTTTCAGCAGGAAAGAAACATACATCTGGAGCCAACTTGACCCCATTAGGCCGAAAACTCAAATAAGGTGGGTCACAGCAGAGTGCCAATCACTCGCCCATCCTCCTGGTGGAGGTGACTACGACTAAAAAGGCTGTCTTCCAGGACAAAAGCTGCAGACTACAAGTAGCCATTGGTTCAAATGGTTTGTCCATGAGCCTTGCAAGCACCTTGGGTAGATTCCACGCTGGCGTGGGTCCATGTGACGGGGTGAAGAGGTGGGTCAGACCCTTAAGAAACTTTTTGGTCTGGGGATGAGAGAAGACAGAGTGACCATCAATCATCGGGTAATTTGCAGAAATTGCAGCTAGATAGACCTTCAGCGAGGCACAACTGAGTCCTAGGTCTAAACAAGACAATAAGAACCCAAAGATTGCCATTAGGACGGAAGGTGGTGGTGGCAATCCCAGTGAGGTAAGGTAAGACAAGAATTTCTTCCACTTCCCAGCGTAAGAAACTCGGGTAGATGGTCTGTGACAGTTCAATAGGACGTGATCTATCCTGTCTCTGATTGATCGAAAAGGATCCTCCAGATCGTGAGCTTGAGACGCTTCACATCGTGATGCAGAATCCGACCCTTCTCCGCAAGAAGGAGGTTGACAGCTGGAGGAAGGTGAACAAAGGAGCCCTTGGATAGGTGGAGCAGAGTGGAGAACCAATGTTGTCGGGGCCACCACAGTGTCACTAAGAGACAGTGTGGTTTTTCCTGCATTAACTTGACTAGTACCCTGGGTATTAGAGGAATCGGTGGAAAGAGGAACACATGGAGACGTGACCATGGGACTAGAAGACCGTCTCCCAGAGATAGGGGATCTATCCCTGCTCTGGAGCAGAACAGACGACATTTTCTGTTGCTGCGTGTTGCAAACACGTTCACCTCTGGATGGCCCCAAAGGCAAAAGATTGGGAGAAGATAAATCCAATTGAGCTCCCAGTTGTGCTCCGCAGCCCCTCCTCTGCTCAAGTAGTCTGCTTGGACGTTCAGTGTTCCTGCCAGATGAGTGGCCCTTAGGAACGTGTTCCATGATTGACACTCGACCCATAGTTCTGTGGCTAGGCAACATAGCCCCCAGGAGATCGTACCTCCCTGTCCGTTGATATAACACAAGGCTGTGGTGCTGTCTGCCAGAACTGTAACCACTTGTTTGGTCACTAGGTGATGGAAAGACCTGAGTGCGTACAGCACTGCTAGGAATTCCAGGAAATTTATGATTGTGTGCTATATGGGACTCCCAACGAGCCCCCACACAAAGACCCTTGAGATGCGCACCCCATCCACAGAGGGACACATCTGTATTCAGCATGAATGTTGATGTGGGTGGGTGGATGGAATGGGGCTCCTGCTAGGAGATTCACAGGATCTGTCTACCACAGCAGAGAGCCCAAAATGGATGGTGGGAAGACAAGACGAAGGGATTGAGGATGACTGTGGGCGAAACCTGCATACGGACCACAGCTGTAGAGGTCTCATGTGCAGTCTGGCAAAAACAATGACGTTGATGGTGGCAGCCATCAGACCCAGCAGCCACTGGATTTGCTTTGCTGTAGCATGTCCAGACCTGCGGAATAGAGTCAGTGGATCAATGTCCCTTGCTCTCTGAGGAGGGAGAAAAGCCTTGCAAACGACAGAGTCTAGGATAGCTGCTATAAACTGTACCTGTTTGGTGGGAAGTACCATTACCTGGATGCCTAAGGACATCAGAACTGTCAAGGTTAGGTTTACATTTGTGAGCAGGGATGCTTCTGAATCCGCTACCAGCAACCAATAGTTTATGTAGGGAACTATCTGCACTCCCCTTAGACAGAGGTGTGCCACCACTGCCATCATAACCTTTGTGAAGACCCGAGGGGCTGTGGATAATCCGAACGGGAGGGCTTTGAATTGGAAATGCCGGTTGCCTACTACAAACCGGAGGAAACGACAGTGGGAAGGGTGGATGGAGACGTAGAAGTAAGCATCCTTGAGATCCAACGTAACCATCCATGTCTCCGGATCTAGGAGCGGAAGGAAGGCCTGCAACGTTGTCATCCTGAACTTTTTGTATAGGATGAAAGAGTTTAGGCTCCTGAGGTCAATAATGGGTCGAAGGCCTCCATCCCATTTCGGTACTGTAAAGTAACGGGAGTAGAAGCCCATTATGTGCTTTGCTGATTGTACCGGCTCTATAGCATCCTTGCTTAGGAGAGTTTGAACCTCTTCTAGAAGGACTGCAGAAGGTGGTGTGACAATGATGTGGGAGGAGGAAGGGATTTGGGAAAACTCTATTAGGTATCCCATTTTTATTACTGAGGGGACCCATTGGTCCGACATAATGGACTCCCAGATTGACAGGTAAGGAAACAATCGTTAGGGAGTAGGTAGAGAAGGCGTGAGTCAAAGACTCTGTTTAGTGTTCTAAGCAGTTTTGGGTCTAGATAGAGAGGTAGACGAAAACTTGGATTTTCCACCGTAGGAATGGGGCGGACGACTCGACCTTTGCCAGTGTGGCTCTGAGGAGGATTTAGACGATGGTCTACCTGACCATTGTTTGATGCATGGTTTTCCTTTACTTGGCTTAGTAGGAGGTACGACCCCTAAGCTGCGAGAAGTCTCGATGCTTTTATCAAGCTCTTGAAGTACCGCATCTGTGGTAGAACTAAAAACTCCATCCCCTTCGAATGGAAGGTCCTCCACAGTGGCCTTGAATAAACTTGAATAAAAGAAGGCCGAAAAGGCCCAAAAGTGAAGTTTTACCGACTGAGGCGGAGAGAGTCCTACCAGCGCGGTGGTCAGAAGAGAACTGGCAGGATTGTCATGCCCCTCCTTTGGTCATGTGCAGTGGAGCCCAGCACATGACTGGGGAGCGGGCGCAAAAATTCCTTTTGCTTTCCATTATACCGATCAGGGTCAGCGCAGGTGCACTATATCCCAGAGGTGTGATGCACAGAGGCCACGAAGAAGATCAGGAAGTCATTCTGTTAATCAATGTGTTTGGAAGTCTGTTTGGAGATATGGGAAATATTTAACAGGTTTCGCTCTAAGAGATGCCACAGTCAAAATGGAAAAAAACACACATTCCTGTTTATTTTCAAATGTTTCTCTAAATTAAATAAAAATCTATTTTTCTTTCTTAGGTATTAATGAACAAGGGCTCTACAGAATAGTTGGTGTCAACTCCAGAGTACAGAAGCTATTGAGCATCTTAATGGGTAAGTAATATTTTAAGAACAACTGCTTAATGGTTTATTTTGGCTGTGTTGCCAATTGTAGTGGTAGATGCATTTGCCAAAGATCTGGAGCCTGCCAATGTGAATTCCATTCAGAGAAAATTCATTTGCAGCATAAAGGCCTCTAAGGGGTGAGGATTTTGTACTGAATCTTCATTGGGCTAGAATGCTCGGGTGCATAATTAAAACATGGGGTTGGATCCAATGACATTTTTTGCTAATAGAAACTACTTTCCTCTCCACCCAGACCACTGAGCTCTCAGCAAGAAGCCTGAGGAGTGATTTGGGGGTCTGCAATGAATATGGACAGGGTTTTTCTGAAGAAGTTTTAAAGGAATGCATTGTTGTGTGTGTGAGATTTGGACTGCAGCTGGAGGGGGCAGCGAAAAAGTTGGAGCATTTATTTATTTATTTACAAAATGTATATCCTGCCTTTCTGTCCTCACAAGTGCCACCAAGACAGCTAACAATTTAAGACATACATAATAAAATCGCATTTTAATACCATTAAAATCAACTGCCCCAACACACATCATTAAAACAGATTAAAAGCAGAGTCAAGGGGTCCAGGAGAACCAAGGGAGTGGCACTCCCTCTATCCATCTCCCAGGGCAAGTCTTCCACCAGAGTGACCAAGGCTGTTTCAGTCCCATAACCTGTCCTAAACTGGGAGGGATCTAAACAATTTGCCTTATCCAGGAAACCTCGGAGCTGTCCAGCCAACACACATTTGATCACCTGGCTCAAGAACAGAAGATTTGGGTGGAGCGACAGCAGAGCCGTGCAGTTGTACCCAACTCAGCCTCCGCATCGGGCTCCTACAAAAGAATTAAAATTTAAAAAACGGGCTGCAATTTAAATAACACAGTTTTACCAAAACAATGGGGAAGAATAGGGGAGCAAAAGGTGGTAAGAATCTCTCCAAAACGATGCCTAGAACAACGCAAGAAAACCAAAACTCTTCGAAAGAGGACCCCCCCCCGTTGGAAATGGAGGAAGTAGAAGCTCATGCAAGTAAAAGGAAGACAGAGGACTCTCTAACCAAACAACATTTACTGGAGATGTTGACAGACTTAAAACAAGACTTAAAAGAAGAGATAGGAAACAGCATGACTCCTATTATGAATAAGCTGGATGAAGTCAACAAAAAGCTGCAGGAAACTCAGGAGAAGGTGGAGACAGCAGTTGCCGATATGCAAAAGAACTCTAAAGAAATAGCTGAATTAAAAACTTTTGAAGGATGGGCAAAAACCAAGCTAATGCTGTTAGAAACTAAATCACGGGAAACTAAAGTGAAATTCCGTGGAATTTCTTTGAACTTTGAATTAAATAAGGACCTTACTGTTGCTTTAAACCAGTGGTTAGAAGGAATTATACAGCTTACAGGGCCAGTGATAAACAATGCTTTCCATGTAAACCCTCCCCGAATGGGCTCGTTAACATTGATACCTGATATCGTGGCAAATCTTAAAGATACAAAGACTAAGAGGAACCTTTTGGAAATTGCTAGGAAGAACAGAGGTCTAAAGCTTGAGTACACTTTGGTTCAGCTATATCCAGATATCCCATTTGAAGTATTAAATGCTATGAAAAATATGCACCCAATTGCACAAAAGCTTGCAGAGAAGATCTTCAGGTATTGTTGGCTTCCGCTTGGACATATATCGGTCACATACCAAGGAAAAAACACTCACAACTTGTGACTTAATATCCGGTGAAGAGCTTCTGAAGGCATTGGAATCGGACTCAGGCTAGGAGTCCAAGAACTGACAAGTGAAAGAAGATGAATGCACCAGAAGACTGTAAAGACATACACCAGAGGAGATTGCAGCTATAGAGTTATTTTTTTGTTTTTCTCTTCTCTCTCTCCCTCTCCCTTTCCCCTTTTTGTCTTATACATTTCCCCCTAAGCAAAGCAGCCTGGAACATAAAGTGTCGGGGAGCACGTGGGTAGGGCTATTGGGACACCCCCCCACACACACCTCTCCAATGGGAAAGACTCCAGCGAGAGTCTTCTCCAGAATTGCTCCAGAGTCCCGGGTGAAGGAACGCCAATTAGAAGAGCTCCAGTTTGAAGAAGAACAGAATGTAGTAAAGATCTAAGAGAGCAGAGCTAAGAAATGGAGAAATATATTTTCAGTTTGTAGCTTACTTTTTATTTTACTTTATTGTAACCCATCTTATTATAATGATTTAGAACTGAAATATATATAGAACACATGGTTATAAAATAAGGAGATTTAAAAATCTGTTAATAACTGTTGAAGCCATTCAAGTTGTATTACACAATCATTTATAGCTGCAAACTCAGCTTCAAAACTGCTGGTAGTCACGTACTGTTGCTTTACAGACTTCCAGATAACCAGTGATCCACATACATTTATTGCATAACCAGTTATGCTTTTTCCACTGTCACTGTTACCCCAACTTGAATCAGTAAAGGCTATAACTTGCTGTTTGTCATCACATTTTAACACAAGTTTACATTGTAAGGTGCCCTTTAAATACCAAAGTATTCTTTTGGCTGCATTCCAATCTCACATATTTGGGTTTGCATTCCTTTGACACAACAAATGTACAGCATAAGAAATATCAGGGTGAGACCAAGTAGTTAAATAAATCAATGATCCCATCAGGGATTGATATAAGGTTTTGTTATCAAAACATCCACCTTCTGGTTCTTTTGTGTAACCTGTAGACATTGGTGTTGCTACTGGGTAAGCATCTTGCATATTGTAGCCTTTTAACAACTCAACAATTTTGTCTTTCTGGCTTAATTCATAAAAACCATCAGAATTCTTGCATATATCTATTCCCAGATAATGCCTGATTGTACCCAGATGTTTCATTTTGAAACACTGTTTTGTAGCTTGAATGAACCATTCCAATTGATCACGGTGTTTGAACATAAAATACAAGTCATCCACAAAAAGTAACAAGTAGCATTTGGAATTTCCAACTGTTTTACTAAACATACATGGGTCAGCTATGCTTTGCTCAAAGCCCATATTTACAAGAGTTTTTCTTAGACCTTGGTTCCATAAGTACCCACTTTGTTTTAAACAATAAAGACCTCGTTTTAGTTTTAGTACCAGGTTAGTGTTACTATGCTCAAAACCAGGAATCTGTTGCATGTACAATTCCTCTTTTAATTCAGCATTGAGGTAAACTGTAGTAAAATCAAAATGATGCATTTGCATCCCCTCTAAGCCAGCTTTTGTTAAAGCAACATTCAGAGTATTATTACTTACAGTTGGTGCAAAAGTTTCATCATAATCCCCTTCCTTTTGCAGAAAGCCCCTTGCCACAAGTCTGGCCTTCCTTTGGGGTTTCCCATCCTACATAGGCTTCAGTTTATAGAGCCACCTACATCCTATTACAGCTTTGTCTTTAGGCAATTCAGACAAATCAAAAACATCATTTTCACAAAGTGACTCATACTCAGTTTTAATGGCAACCAGCCACGATTGCTTTTCAGGTTCAGGCGTTTTAATCACGTTATTGTACCAAGAAGGTTGTTTTGTTTTACATAAACATGGTTAGCAATTTGATCATAGCCATATCTTTGTGGTGGCACACCCTTATTGCTCCTGCCTGACCTTCTAGGAGTGCTTTGTTCAGTTTTACACTTTCTGAGCATGCAGGTTGATTAGTACTGTTCCCTGCTCTCGGTGTTTGTCTTCAAACTCCTGCAGGCGTCCTATTACAAACTGCAAATTAAGCTGCTGCGGCTGTAAATTTTCCAGGGAAGTGATAAGGATGTCAAACTCAGAGGAAAGCGAGCTTAGAAGCAAAAATACACGATCTTCCTCAGAGATACTCTTTCCTCTCTGCTCAAGCTGCTCATACAGTTCTGTTACGTAATTTATATGCTCTCTGACAGGCTCACCGGGCTTTTGTACTTTGCGGTAAAGACGGCATGTCAGAGACATGAGTGAACCAGCGGAACGATGCACCTAGACTGCCTGTAGAGCATTCCAGGCTTGCTTTGCTGTAGTAGAATTAGCCACATGCAGTAGTTGGTCATCACTCACTGCTAGCACAATACTGGTAAGAGCCCGCTCGACCTTGGGCACGTCTCCAGCAGGAACTGGGTGGGTCATGTGCATACAGCCAAAGACCCTCTCTTATCAAATAATGCTTCATGCGGAGCGCCCATATGTCATAATTTGAGGAGGTGAACTTGTCCACCCACTGCGTCATTGAGACTTGAGCCATTTTTCACCGGCTCCCTCAACTCCCCCGAGCTGTTATCTGTTACCTTCTGATGTTGTTACAAGCTGATGCCAGAGGCTTGACCGAGCTGCTATTCCTCCTCCACGCCAGGAAGAAGCAACAATCCACAGCTCTCGGCTTCCACAGCTTTGCAGACCTTCTGGAAACTGCTGGGCTGGTCAGCAACCATGGCAGTCACACCGGCAAGTTCAAAATGCAGAGCTGGGTGCAGGACTGAGTTCACAGTGCTGGGTTCAATATTCTGGGCCCATAACCCTGCCGCACAGCGCGTCTGGAACAGTTGAACCAGCACCTCAGTCACACTTGCACTCACCAGCAGTCATTCCTTGCAACTAGAGGCTTTCCTATAGTCAAACACACTGAGACAGTCCAGTGGTTACTATATACAGGAATTTATTTACAAATTATACAGTTCTCTAACAAAATGCTCCACCAGACACCATCAGAGAGAGAGAATACAGTGCAATACATCCACATATATACATTGATCAGCCAATCAGAGTAGTGCTGAATCATGGTGACTTGGCTTGCCTTTGCCCAAGTCTAAACTGGCTGAATCTGGTTCAGTGCAGCTGTCAGCTGTCACATAGATGCTCCTGATCATAGTGCTGAAGCTTATACACCAACAAAATTATGGGAGATAGAGTTTACAAGTGCAATTGTACTGGGGCAATTTTGAGAGGCAGAAATATTAACCTAGGCGTGCCAATTCTACTGGATAAATTAAAGATTATAATTTATCAATG